CTATGGAGACCATGGTGGGGTCTAACCGCCACAGAAGCCCCGGGGTAGGAGGGGGGGTCCCGGCCAGCGTGAGTGGAGGAGGGCTGCCGCAGAGCACAAGTGAATGCACAAAGAGCACCTTCACTGTGAGTAAAAGGACTTACAGGGAAGGGAAATGGGTGATGAAGGGTCACTTTAAATTGAGTTGGAAATGGTGCTGTGTAAAAGTACTATATTACTATTCTTAAGGTAATATGAAAATAAAGTAAATCTGTGTTTTGATTTTAAATAATGTAATGCAATTTTTTAAGGGACAATTGTTTAATGTCAATTAGTCATTAAGAGTCTATCCTATGTCTATTCAAAAGGGAGAACTTAATTGTGTACTCTGTGATTTTCAGCCTCCTGTGTTGTCAGCCAAGTCTCCTCTAAAGAGCCCGGTGAAACGGCGCTCAGGCCTCTTCCCTCGTCTTCACTCCAGCACAGAATCCCCATCGGACAAACACACACGCAGGTTGGTGTTTTGCTCATCTCACTGTTTTAAATGTCACTGCATTTGGGATTAGGTATTAGGAAGTGGTGGACTCAGTGGGTGTAAGGAAGTGGTGGACTCAGTGGGTGTTAGGAAGTGGTGGACTCAGTGGGTGTTAGGAAGTGGTGGACTCTGTGGTGGACTCAGATGTAATGCTTAAATAAAAGAAGTAAGATCATTGTGTTGAAGTTTACAAGTAAAAATCCCTCCCATTAGACATTTGTCCATAGTAAACTATAGTACATACCATGGTATACTATGGTACCACAGATATAACAACACTACATGCTGTGATCCCTCAGCTATTAGATACATGCCGCTGTACCTCAGATAATACAATGGTATCTCCAATAGGCTTCAGAAAGAAGTCTCCAATGGAGTCTGTTATGAGTATGTTATAGACACTCTCAATGTCTGTGTTTGTTTTTATTTATCTGTTTTCTTTTGTCTGCAGTGACCAAAAGACTGCAGAGGTCTGCTCGCTTTCCCAAGAAGTGAGGTCAGAGACATCGTCCAATCCCAGCTCACCGGAGATCTGCCCCAACAAAGAGAGGTAGGAGATGGCAAAAGTAAAACTAGGCAAAGTTGTTCTTATGTCCCTGTTTTTTTTCATCTTATGGTCAGCTTCTCTACATCTCTGTTCCCCTCTGCTTCTCTCCACAGGCCCTTCATTAAGCTGAAAGAGGGCAGCAGCAGCAGCGGCAGACCAAACATCTCTCGTTCTTCGTCCAGCACCAGCAGCTTCAGCAGCACCACGGGAGAAACAGAAGCTTTGGAAGAACTGGAGACAGTGAGTTCAACTCTTAAAGACTGTCCATATGTTCAGGACATTCCAAACAATCAGTATTTGGGTTTAAAGATAGAGCAGAACTAAACAAAAAAAAACTCCTTAACTGAGTGTGAGATTGTTGGTCCATTTAGAAGCCTTGATGGTTTAGATAGTCTGTAATTACCAAAGACCGTCTAATGGAGAGTGTTAAGTATCAGCGCTTTGGTATTATTGATTAGAGCTCCTCTCCCTTTCTGTGTCTCGAATGATACTACTAGTCGTGTTATCTTCTATCAGACAGATAAACAGTGGGCTGTAGAAATTGTAACTTTTCAGGGCCAGAACGTGTAAAAGAATATGTAGCAGTAAAGTACACCAGAGTGTTTCATAAAAAAAAGTCTTGCTCTTTTTCACCTTAAAGCTGAAGTGCTGAGCTTTTGTCTCCCCCCTCTGGCAGTGAGAGTACTTCGTTAGCTTTAGTGATGCTGGTAGGGGGAAATGTTTTTAAGCTTCACACAGTGTCAGCCATTTACCGCTATGAACTACTGTTTTACATAAAAGACATTGCAACTTTTGCAGGCCTAAAATAATGTGCCTTCATTGATCAAATGTCTCAGAAAGCAAACATGCTCTTTCTCGCAAGCATCCTTTCCATACTTCCTTCCCGACATTTGGTGCCTCTTTGCCTTCAGGAAGTGTTAAATCAACTTCAGCTAAAATATCCCTTTTTTGTTTTGCTGAGCCTCTTCAGTTCCTTTCCTCCCCCATCTCTTCCTGAATAATAAATGCTTCTGTGCTCTCCTCCCCCAGGCCAACCATCCCTCTATAGCATCCTCTTCAGCCTTCAGTCCTTCCCTCAGTGTTGACAGCCAGGGATCAGGGACGCCTGTCATCATGTGCCGCAGTCCAACAGGTAAATCTATGTTTTTACACAGACACACTTTAAGTATTCACAACGTGAGATGACAGACTCTCCAATGAGCATGTTCTTCCTTTTTCTTTCCATTTCCTTCTCCCATATTCAGCAGATGTGAAAAGTAAGACGTCACCGAGGTCAAACTTGAAGTTCCGCTTTGACAAAATGAGCCAGTCATCCACAACTGTAAGTATGCATGGTCAGCTTTTTTTTTTTTTTTATTTAAAAACAATATTGTAAGGCTTGTTTCTTATTACACAGTCATAGTAAAAAATAAAAATGACGAGATATATCACTGAATGTCCATCTTATTATCTTTGTAATGTCATGACACAGGCGTTGGGTAATAGGCCCAGACAGAAAGAAGCATTCAGTTTGTGAAGACTCTCCTCTAACTGTTCACTTTCCTCTCTTTCAGTCTGAGTAGCTTTGTGGAAGGAGAATATCAGACTTGCACAACAAAGGGACAGCGCGGGCGAACGATGCTGCAAAAAAATAAACACAACAACCACAAAACCCCTGGAGAACCACTTCCATACGCCAAGGATCACGCCATGCACCACCTGCACCGGAGTCCCCACTAACTATAAACAAACTGACAATACTGTGAGTGTGTAATGAGGAGAATCAGCTAACATGTGGGCTTTCCTTTAACCTACCTTAGGCTACAGAAATTAGATAAATACTTTGCCGATGTTACAAGTTGCTGCATCTCAGTTGTTAAGTGTTCATATCACACGAGGGTCCTAGCATAGCTGTAATACTGTGAGTGGGCAAGTCTCAAGTACCTAGATTAAAGAGAAACAAGTTGATCAAGAAGAATGAGACTATGGCTAAACTGTTACTCTTTATCTAGTGGAAAGTGCAAAGGACCTCTTTAACAATTGTCAGACATCAGGATGTTCCCTTTTTGCCTTTTCCCTTAAATGGTACGTCTGGCAACAGTTCCTCTTTTACCTTAAAAAAAAGTATGTGGACACACACAGACAGACACACACATGCACGGAAATATAATGTAGACTTACAGTAGCAACGTTTTTTGGAAAAGGGAGTCTCAATTCTCCACTGAAGGATCTGAGCTTTGCGTATAAAAAGTGCTTTTCTAGGGAACACCTTTCATTTTCAGGATGCTTTTGTAACCCTGCTAGCTGCCGTGTTGTGTCTACTGCACTATAAACACGAAACTCAGTCAATATCTATCACAGCATTTCTGTACCTGTAAGGGTAACTTCAAATTCCTGTGCTTGGTAAGTGGAAATTAGCTCACAAGTGGCACAGTAGGAGACACTGCCAACGCATTCTGCCATACGCTTACTTTAGCCAAAGCTGCGCCTTACAATCTATCAAAAGCTCTTTTCACCACTGATGGTCTCTTTCGCTCTGTCTGTCTATCTGTCTGTCTCTCTCACTATGTGAGAGGACAAAAATACTTCGGGGTCCGGTTACAGCAGGTTTGTGGGTAGACGCTCAACACCCTCATCTGCTGAAAATAGACGTTGCACTTAATGTACTGAAAACATTTCACCTTCTGATACCTCCCATTGAAGCTTGCTAGCTCGGTGTATCTGTGTCTATGGTCTACTGGGTTTAAAGTTCCCAGCATTTAAGCTAATGAAGAAGACTTGAAAAAAAACGAACCTTTGAACCACACTTTGGCAAAAACAATTTGAATGTGAACTTTAAGCTTTTTTTTCTATTTTTTTATTTGACGCATTGTTAGTTGTTATTACAAAGTCTTCTAGAAGTAAATTGCCAGTTGCTTAAAGCACAATAGGTCTACTCAAGTCCTCAACTATCCCATAACTTAGCCTGGAGCTGCACAAACGAGAATTAGCAGGGCAACGTGGGATTGTGCTTATCAAGAAAAAAGCTTAAAGACACACAGATGTGTTTCCTATGTGACCAAAAACCCAAGATGGTGGGTCTTTGGAAGAATATCTTTGTACTTTTAACGTGGGGAGAACCATTCCTGGATGGCTTGATAGTGTGTGAAGTTAGGACACGCAAAACTCAAATCTCAGAAGGTTTAAAGGGTCAGTTCACCTAATTTACAAAGACCTTGTAATTTGGGTGACATTTTAACTTGGCAGGAAGCTGTTAAGTTTCTTGATACAAACCTCAAGGAAGTTAACAGCATTGACTTATACACACTGTGCTTACTTATAGGCCAGTGATTACCTCCAGAGAGAGAAGCAGGGACAGAAATATCAGAAAAGTTTAGTTTGTAGCAGGTATCGCCTAAAATGCCCTGCAGCCTTTCCTCTGTTAATATGCTTAATTTATTAAAAAGATAACTTCTTTTGCATTGATGTAATGTAAAAATGTAACTGCAGAGTATGCTAATTAAAAACGTACAAATTATTAGAGGAATATATTAATTTAAAGATGTCTAAAAAATGTATATGTATATTTGGTTATGTAACGTGCCATTGAGAATTTATTCTAAAATAAAATGTTGTATTTTGTGTCATTTATGTGGTTTCTCATTTTTTAAATCTCACAAACACTGGATGGATGGTGTTATTGATACTTTTAATATGTTATGCACAAAGTCACATCAGAAACATTGGTAGATATTATATACACAGTTGGTTTCAACATTTTAAAAACCCGCAATACTGTACATTTAAATGAGCTATACTGCATTTAATGTTTTGTTTCCCAGTCACATTCTAAAAATAGTTTAAGTGTTTGTCAGTGAATTCATGCTGCAATATCTCTTCATTATCTTCTCAATATGCGATATCCTGCATGAAGGATTTTGGCACATAGACAAACATGACGTTGCTGGATTACTTAGCATCTTTTTTTGTCCTCTGCTTTAGTGATTTGCCACAATATGCACATGAAGCCTTGAGATAAAGAACGAAAAGTGAAAAGCTCCCAGGTTTCCTGAAGACATCCAAAATAAATATTACACTATTCACAGATTGTGTTTGCACCTGCTTTGCTGCAGTCAGGAAAATCTGAGGGATGAATACACAGTGGACTGGTCAGGCTTTTTGGTGACTCCCTGCTGTCTCAATGCATCCTGGGAAATGTCTGCATACACCACCTGCAAATGGAAAAAGTTATTTAAGCTCACTCAAGGGCATGTTTGGCATATTAAAGGCTAGTGAGAGGAAACAAATAGTTTTCAGGGCACTGCAAAGGGCATCCTGTCTTGAAACGGGGCGTTCACTTACCTCAGTCTTCTGCCTGACCATTGGAATGGCTGTAAAATACAAAAGATAACAACACAGTAAATAAAGAGATTTTGAAAATATACTTTTTACCAGTGTTACAGGCAAAGCAATATGAAATCTGGATACCTTTGTGAGAGGAAGTGCTACGTTTCATTGGTATCGGTGGTAACTGTGGAGCTGGGTGTGGTTGGTTTCTGCTTGCAGCTGAGGCCGGGGGTAAGCGTGTCCTGGGAAGTGGCAGAGGCTTGACTTCTGAACTCAGACAACGAGCCAATCCCAGAATGACAGGAAGAGACAGAGCAGCAGCGGCACAGACCAAAATCCTGTGCAACACACTCCTCTGAGAGGAGATAGCTAGGGGCGACACGAGTTAGGTAATTAGATTATCTTGTTTGAGTCATGATAATCATATTATAAATGAGTCCACATACCTGCAGTGACGTTCACATACTTCAAGTTTCCCTGCTCAGTGTCATCTTGAGCCCATGCAACACTGCATCCATAGGAACCTTCGTCAGATTTTTGGACATTCAGGAAATTTAAAATCAGTTTAGTTTGATTGGCTGAGAGATTCACCTTGGTCACATGGTGCCTGAAAATTAAGTTTTCCTCAGTTGAATTTCTCCGCATCCAGTCTCCCTTCCAGGCGTCTCCACAGTGCTGGACCACACAGGACAGAGACAAACTGCCCCCCGCTGGGACGTCCAACGTCTCACGGTCTGCCAGGACAACCTGGCTGCATTCTTCAGCAACTGAAAGTGGGAAGGATCCTTTAGCTCATTAGTGTGCAACAAAGAACTGCATACACAGAAATATGCAAATAGGATTGTTACCTTGATATGTATAATACTTTGATAACGCCATTTATTGAAACTACATGTGAACATTTTGACCAATATTGAACTTCAACACCAAAGATTGCATAATTAGATTCAATAGACATAGTTTGTACATATTTTGGGTTGTTTTTTGCATTCAGAATGAACCTAACTACCGCATGCACAGAAAAATTGATTTTGATGTCAGAATATAGGGAAATAGTGTAGCAACAAACATTTCACACACTAAATACATACAACATATAGGAAAACATTTAATAGACTGTGGGTTACCTCCTTTACAGCTATACAACAGATCAAATCAAACTGTATTTATTTACTATGTTTCATACCTAATAGGTAACCCAAAGTTCTTCACACCCAAAACAATAACAATACTAACACACCTCCCCTTCCAGGTAGTAAAGAGACTAACACATGACTTTGATATTAATAAAAAAACACTAAATACCAACAGTATTCAACAAACACAGACCAGAATAAATACAATTAAATTAAAAGCCACATTAAAAAGTTAACTCTTGAGTTGGTCTTGAAAGTTTATGCTGACCATCGGGCCTTCCACAATCATGGGCCATAATAATAAAAAGACACTTCACCATGGGTCTTTGTCTTTAGGTATAGTTAAAAGCACAGTACCAGAAGACCAGAGAGTTTTAGATTGTTCTATGTTAAAAGCAAAAGAGCTTTAATACTGTGTGACGTGTGAGTTAAAAGGCAAGACTATGTAGTCTCACCCAGCAAAGTTTGTCAAATGTAACAAATGGGAGATTTCCCATACTTAAAATGAGAATTTGAATGAGACTTCCTAAGACGTGCAAGTAGCAAAACAAATGACTTACCAGCATGAAGAAGGCAGAGACAGCTGATAGCACTCAGGAGATGGTAACGCATGTCTGGCAGTAACAGTATTTGTCTACGTTCATGACAAATGTCTTTCACTTCCACTTTGCAGATCAAGTCAGGGCTTGTGGAGAAGTTTGATATGCATGGCAACGAAGGATACACTGCTTGTTAGAATGTTTTTCAGTTGTTGGGGCTCCATGAACTCGCTCTGTCTCTCATTTTGTTTTCCTCAATCGTTTGAATGCCTGTCCGTTATGCTGCTGCTGCTGTTGGTGTTGGTGCTGCTGCTGCTGCTGCTGGTGTCCAGATGGAAGTAAGCTAAAAGTAAAGGAAGCAAGAAACCCACTTATCAACTCACACACACACACACACACACACACACACCCTCTGCAAGGCTCGTACACTAAATTACAGGAAAGCATGACCTCATAAATGGGGCCAGTTTCAAGGAACAGTTACACTGAGCGAGATTGTATTTCTTTGTTTTGGAGCATAAGCAATTCTGGATTCATTGTATTAGCCCTTTCAATGTCTGTTTATGTTTATGCCATGGTTTATGCAATGGTGTTGCATACTTCTTTCATACTGAATAAATAATAACTTCCTTTTAACCAAGCTTGCGGAAAAAGTGTTAAGGGTTTAAAGAACTTTATTTCCAACATGGTGAAATGTTTTAGAGACTTTTTACACCCAGTACTTTTCCAGCAACAAAAGGCAAACTGTTTTTTTTAGCAAAGAAATCAACTTTCAAAATAAAAACTTGTCACTTTTAAAGAGAAAATATGTTCTTGCTGTAAAAATTTCTTACATACATCAAGTGATCCCCCTCACGCATGTACAATGTAAGTGATGGAATGAATGAAGTACACATATTAAGTGGTCTACAATTAGTTATAAAGCGTGGTTTTGTTTTGAAAAACAATAACCGGACGTTTATTCCGTATTTATTCAGGCACATTGTTCACTCTTGGCGCACTCGTTTGATGGTTCCTTGTTCTCTGCCACTCACGTGAGTTGTGGGAATGTCCGATAAAATAAGGGTAGTGGTGCTCTGTGGAAGAAAAACTGCAAAATACAACCACTGGAAATTCCCTTGTTGTGTCAGGCAGCATTATTTCAATGACAATGCCTACTTAGTTAAATTAGGTTACTTCACAGCAGGACTCCATATTCATAATTACTTTGATAATAGATCCAGACAGGTTGATATGGTCACCAAAACAACAACTTAACACATGATAGTGTATAAACATGATATTTTGTATAAAGCCTATTGTAAAATAAAATGTATATCTAAATGAAATACAGTAAATTATTGTATGTGTCCAGCATGTAGCTATGTAAGAAGTAGTACAGTATAGTGCGAGTATTTTGGGGGGAAAAATACAACAGTAAAAATGTGTGTAATTAGATTTAAATATACATTAAAAAAAACTGTACCGTAATCCACATGTTTGAAACAGTTAAAAACACTACTTGTTTATATCGATAGACAGATAAATATACGTTTTATTGATCCCAATTTGGGAAAGGCAATAAGAGAAATTAAGACACTAGAAATAAACAGTCCAAAATAGTTCTGAAATAGAAATAATAGCATTGAAAAGTTAAGAATAAGATATGCATGTGGAAAATATACATGTGTAAATAAATATTACTTGTATTGAATCTTATGTCTGAGTTTGCATTTGTAAAGTAAAAAATAAATAATAATAACAGGTTACACAATAATATAAGTGTAATATACATAATACAATCATTAAATACATTATTTTCTGTATAAGTTGTTTTTAATTTTAATGTGGCTTTGATTTTGGTGCGGTCCCTTTTCCCAATAACTCCGCCCATCCGCCACGTCAAACACCGGCTGCGAGTGCCCAAACGAGCGCACCCTGTTTTCACACCGTCACCGACTGACTTTCGGTGAAGGAGATAAACAAAGAGCCGGTGACTTTTCAGGGAAACAGACAACGCTTCCCAAGCTCCACGGAAACATGGAAACTGGTAGGTCGAGTGCTGCTTTCAGCTGTTTCAGCCCCGGTGGTTCGTTTATTATATGCCTGAGTGCAGTCTGTATTTGACAGCTAGAGGATGACAGCTGAGGAAGCTAATGTGCTAAGTTAGCATTCAACACGCTAGCATTGCCAGTCTGTTAGCATGGATTTACCGTCGTTTACTTCACTAGGTGTGTCCGTTCATTCCGATACTCTATCAACAAAGTACTGACATCTAAACAGGAGACACACACAACTAACCCACAATAATGTATTAGTTAAAATCTGGATTAATTTTCAGGATCCAGAGGTGTTAGCTTTTGTGGCTAGCCAGTCATGCTGATTTGGTGATACCAGAAGCTGTCAAAGTATTTAAGGAGGTAGGCCTAACAGTTCATTTTTAATCTGGTTTTCGTTAGATGGCACTTTAAAATAAAACCTTCACCTATATACTACTTATTTATATTCCAACAATGATTTAAGATCAGTGGTGGTAACTAACGAAGTACATTTGTGCTAACTAACGAAGTACATTTGTGCTAACTAACGATGTACATTTACTCAAGTTCTCTACTATACATTTGAGGTACTTTTATATTTTATACTACTTTATACTTCTACTCTATTACATTTTAGAAGTTAATGTTTTACGTTTTACTCCACTACATTTATTTTACAGATTTATTTACTGGTTACTTTATAAATTCAGATTTCGGCACACAATACTTGGGAAAAACTTTACAAATATGATTACTTGGTATAGATTTAACCATCCAACATTATATTTAAGTAACTACAACCATGAGTGGGTTAACACAAACAGATTATTTTGCAGTTTGTTGTTATTTTATACGATATTTAACCAATCCTGAATACTTTAACCACTGCTTCAGATTGATTTTGATTGTTTAGATTTCGCTATCTAACCTCAGCTTTCACAACTGTTTGTTTCACGTAAGCAAAGGTCAGACAGTTATTTCTAAGACCTTTGTTACCTAAGTGTGCTTTTCTGTAAACCCAATGTTTCTTTATCTTTCTTCCAATATTTTAAGGTGTCGATTAAAATGCAGGACTTTGATATTTTTTATAATATTCTGATTTTTGGACTGTGTTTTAGTCAATTATTGTGGATGTCTACTGAGCCTCCACCGTTTGGCTTGATGCCAACTGCAGTTGCACATGTGGCAGTGATGGGCATAATAAAGTGCTTAGCTAATATATAAAGCCTGTTGTATAACCATTGATGTGTAAATGTACAAGTCACCCCGGCTGCCTGGGGTCGGCCCCTCCATAGAAAACTACTGTGATGTATGTTCTCAGCATTCATGCCCCCACTTGTTGAAAAACATCCAGACCAACTGACTTCCTCACCCTTTGGCTTTTTGGAATCTGTTCTTTCAGTAAGACACCTCTCTTATTTCACTTTGAATGTGTTACCAGTACAGTGTTTCCCACAGATCTGAAATATACTTGGGGGGTGGTGGTAGCGGGGCAGGGGGGTTGAGGTGACAACAACATTAACATTAACCTTTCTGTTGGTCGCTTGTTAGCAGACCCTTCACGCCATGGCAGAGCGAACAGGTACAGGCAGGGCCCATAGTGATAGCCCTATAGTTTAAATATACTACCCACAAATAAACATATGGACATGGGTTACTATTTAAAACAAATTGTAAATGTATTTAGGAACCTATCAATGTGATTTTAAGTTGGGGTGGACCTCAACTCTTTAGGGGGGTCCGGTGGCATGCCCCCCCGGTAAGATTTGTTTTTTAATTTTGGAGTTAAATGCATCAATCTGCTGCATTTTGAGGGGAAAATAAAGAGACTAGATCTATGGGAACACCTATATGAAACAGAACTGTATACATTTCAATAATCATAAAATCATGGCCATAACCAATAACATCCCATTTCCAATATGAAAAAAACACTGAAACTTGTTTATTTATTTATTTATTTTTGGTTCATTAGTTGTGAGTGTGTCTGTGCTCCTGAACCAGCCTCTCCTGTCTCCCTCCTCTCCTGTCTCCCTCCCTCAGTGGCCATGTCGGCAGGCCACATCATGTAGACAGCCAGTCACCCTGTGTGAGGCAGGCCACTTAACAGGCCAGGCCATCGGGAAACCCCCCGGTCCTCCCGATGGCCAGTCCGGGACTGGGTACAGGAAGCGTAGAGTGAGGGATCATTGTCCACAAGTTAATCGATCGTAGATGGCGTCGTGGTCACCGATGAATTAAAAAAACAAAAACCTAAATGGGTCGCAAAATATACTTGGGCGGCCGTTAATATACCTGGGCGGCCCGCCCAAGTATAGTCTATGTGTGGGAAACCCTGCAGTACACCTGTCATAGAGTGTTAAATACGCATCTCATTTGAACCCTTTCCATACAAATCAGTGACCAAAAATTCAGCAGTTGCGCCACTAGCAAAAACCCTGTTATGACACGGGCCCCCATGCAGGCCTGCTCTTGAAATATTCTCTACCTCGGGTCAGGTTCTGCTTATTTTCTGATACACTTGGCATGACGGGGAATGAAGCTTGACACTCTCCTAATCTGCGGTGGTCATTGAATTTGTGTCGATGGAAAATAACCAGAATGCAGCTGAGAGAGAGGGGTCGAACAGTCGGCCTCATGCATGACTAGGCAATGTCTCTTTCAACGGTTAATTGCTCTGCACTATTACCCTCTCAAAGTGTGTGTGCACCCATCCTACCCGGGACTAGAGAGGCTTTCCAGTGTGTTCGTCTTACAGATGGAGCCAGACAAGTGATACCACTGAGCTCAGATCAGCTCTTAGCTCCTTAAGGCTGCTTTAAGAGAAACTAGAAAGCATATTTGATAACTACCTTGTTTGGCTTGTGTTTTGCACTATGCCTAGCGTCCTTCATTTCTCATCAGAGGTCTAATCAGGAGGGTGCTCAATATGCTAATAGGCTATTGTCCACTATAAACTCTATAGATGGTGGAAAGAGCGATGCACAAGACAGCTGTAGTATTCAATAAATGATGTGCTTTTATTTTATGACTATTGATCCGGCATTTTCCAGGCATTATTGTGACGTTTAAATGCGTAAGTGCTCGTAAATCAGATCTAAAGAGAGAAGTGTGTATACCTAAAGTGCACAGATGACTCATGGTAATTGGGAAAGTAGGTAGTTCCTGCTTGTAGTAATAGTTATCTGTCCCAATGTCTATCTGTAAAAGCCTTCCTGTTACAAATGAACTTCATGTGACCTTCTCGCTCCTGCAGGTCTGAGTCCGGAGAAAGTCGCCTCCTTCCTGAAGCGGCTGCGGGCCGAGCCGCGCTACCTGTTGGCCCAGAATGTGTCGACCTGCGTCGACCCGCTGGAGGTCTGTCTGGAACGGCAGACCGTCCAGGATACTGTGCACATCTTCCAGCACACTATATCCACAGAGGGCAAGCCCATCACCAACCAGAAAAGCTCAGGTAGGACATCATGTAATGTAGTCATTATTACTATGAAACAAAATGCATCCATATGTGGGTCTGAATGGATGTGTTTAGCTGTTAGCTCATCACACACACATCAGTTAGTTGGTGAATTTGCCTATTAAACAATGCATTGAAAAGCAGCACAAACAAATGTGAACCAGCACACATTTGTACTAAAAGTGATGGTATTTCTGAAGTAAATAGTGAACACTTTATTTAGAAATGATCAAAACTGTAGCAAACCTGAATAATACTGATTGGAGGACAAGCTGCACAACTTTTCTCAAATTATATATATTCTTTATATAAAGATTCCTATACTGCGATTATCTGTTAAAAATAGTGGATATGAATTCTTAATTTTTTCTCAATTCTCATCAAAAAGGCTGCAATGTTGCGCTTTAAAGTCTTGCCTTAAAAACAAATGAATAAATGCAAATTGAGAATCCTGAATATAGTCCATGCCAACCATGACACAATGCAGACTATCAGTTTTACTTCATGAAACTTTCTTTAAACTGGTAAATCCAACTTCTTGTCAATTTATCAAGATTTGCATCTCATGCATGTTACACAGCGACTATGCTATAATTGATACACTTTAAAATTACACATTCTTTGTCAGTTACAAATCAAGTTGTTGTTCAATCAAGGAATCAAACACACGGCCAACTATATAAATAATGAAAGTTAGGTGAAACACACAGGCCAAACAGCATTTCTGATTCCTGCACCTAAACAAATGTTACTTTAAGTCCTCACTAATCTGCGCATCTTCGTGTCTCAACGTCATTTTCTCTGTTTCCAGGGAGATGTTGGATCTTCTCGTGCCTCAACGTCATGCGACTTCCCTTCATGAAGAAGTTCAACCTAGAGGAGTTTGAGTTTAGTCAGTCGTATCTCTTTTTCTGGGACAAGGTAAGACCCTCACCAACTGTTCTCTGTTCCTCAATGGGCTGATGGATGCACTGTGTATCTGATATCTGTCAACTGTAGATTTATTGCACGTTTTCCAATCTTACTGTTGTATACACTAAGACCCCAGTTACACGGAAACGAACCGAATACGATATCAAAAAAGTCTTCCGTTCACACGAGACCGCTCGAAAGCGCTGGAGACGCTGTCGTACATATGGCCCGTGGAGCCTGTAAGTGGCGCTGTACTTCTGGGCGCGAGCAAAATACACCAAAAGCAGCGAAGAAACGCCGCCGAAGCATGGTTTGGCCATGGTTGCCAATTTCTGTTTATGCCCGCGGTGGATTTAGGGGCAAGCTGTAGTTTCATGTAGTTTCTCATCGTCGCCTTGTTGCTGGATGGTTGTGGTAGAGGAGCTGTAGAANAGTGAGCAGCAGAGGTGGGGAGAGGCGGGGCTATGGCTTCATCGTTATCAGGAAATTATCGAATAGGGCGTACACACTGAGCCGTTTGGCCCCCCAGAGCGTTCTGGTTGCAGATCTATCCTCCTTAGGACCCGTTATCGTTTGCGGGGTCCGTTTCCGTTACGGCCTCGTGTGGCCGAACGGGCTATACGAAAGAGAAAAGTAGCGGATACAACCGTTTGCGTTCTCGTGTAAACAGCACATAAGAGTTCACCCTGTGTGGAAGTGTTTATTTGTGTTGTTTTGCGGTCAGGACATTGCGTGTGGATTATTATGCAGCAGTGTATAAAGTCATTGTCCAACTTCTGTAAATCCCTCTTTTGCGTGGTTATAGTCAGTGCCCTTCCAGGTTTGACGTCACAGTGACACCCGCCAAATGTTTTTACCTTTGTCTGTCTCTGTTTTTCTCCCACATGTGTAGACGGTTGTTTGTTCCATGCACCATGAATACACCTTTCTTTGCAACATGTGCCAGCCGAAGGGAGTAACACTGAATCCGATAGTAGTTCCAAACAAGGATACAGTAAATGTGGAGCTCTAAGAATATCCCGCCCGCTGTCAGCCATAGATTCTGAAATGACATCAGATGTGTTGTTCACTCTATGAGCGGGTCTTTCAGGCCTCTGAATACTGACCAATGAAATGACCAGAAAGCTGTGTTAGTTAATGTTCTTTTATAAATGATGTATCTAATAATAATAACGGCTGAGTGCAAAGCTTGCCTGACACGATCTTGTTGATCTTCTTCGGAGGTTGATGTTTTACAGTTGGTTGAGTCTGAAGTACTGTTTTGTGTCTTAAGTAGGGATGTCCCGATCACTTTTTTTGCTCCCGATCCAATTCCGATCATTTGATTTTGACAATTTGCCGATACCGATTTTTCCCGATCCGATCTTTATGCAATGCATTAAGAGAAAAAAAAGCATTCAAGTTGTCCCTTAAGGTTATTATTTAAATTGGATATTCTATCCAACATGGATATAGCTTCTTTCTTTCACAGCAGCATTGGATCAGTTCAGTTGTGCAGCATTGGATCAAAACAAAATAAAGCTTTCAGTACTCGTTAGCTTACTGCTACAATTAGACACTGCGCCCACTCTGTTGCCAGATTTGAGAGAAATAAGCAACCAGGTCTATGAAAACAAGCCCCAAAGAAGCAACACATACATGATGTTGTGTAATTTGAAACCAAAACTAAGGCCTCAGGATGACTTTAAGACTTGAACATGGTCATTTTCGTTTTGTAACATTGAATAAAAAATAAAAAAGTATTTCAAAAAAAAAAAAAATCCCGATCTCCGATTTTTTTCTCCAGATTCTGATCTTTTGAAAATCACGTGATCGGCTCCGATCCCCGATCACGTGATCGGATCGGGACATCTCTACTTATAATAATATGTTCAAGTCCTGCCTGATACCGTTTTGCTTATGTTCTGTTGCTCTGCAGGTAAAACGTGATGCTTAAATGTGTTTGGTTTGCATCTTAAATTATGAGGTTGATTTCTTACAGTTAGTTTGGTTTCAAGTACTACGTTTTGTGACTTAAGCCTAACTCAAGTCTAATTTGTTCAGCCCTTAACAGTTTCTCTGTTTCTTGTGTTTTTTCTGTTTTGTTTTCTCTTCCAGATTGAGCGTTGCTACTACTTCCTGCAGGCCTGTGTGGAGACAGCGCAGAGGAAGGAGCCCGTCGACGGACGTCTGGTCCAGTTCCTGCTCTCCAATCCAACCAATGACGGAGGACAGTGGGACATGCTGGTCAACCTCATTGGTTTGTATGACTTTTATTAAAGGTTAACCCTTATTAAACGCCATATCCATTTTATTTGCCAGTTGTGGCTGCATGTTTTGACCAATAAACACAGGTCGCAATTAAAGCAAGGTCACTTTTGTCAATATATTCTTCACCATTTAATCAGTCAGATAATTTTAGGGAGACTATAAGCACCAAAGTCTAATTCATACATTTGTATCTGCATGGTAAACAAGTGGAGACTCCTTACTTTTTAGGCAGAAGTCTGAATATGTGTCCTTTTCTCGATTACTTCAAATCCTTTAATCGTCAAGGGACCAGAGATTTATATAAAAACATGTTTATTGCTCCGTTTCAGTTTCATTGTCTCATCTTCCTCAACATTTCTGGCTACTAAACAAAAGTGTCCCCACATTTCTCTGTTTAGTTTTGACGCTTTTTTACTTCTTGGTATGACAAATAGCATCCTTGCTGAAGGGCAGGTGTGTTTTAGGAGGATAAAGAGATGAATTGTGTTGGTGCTATAAATCCTTGGGTGCTGTAAATTAACAATTGTAACTGCTGCAAAGCTACATCTAATGCAGCAAGAACTTTGTGACAAATGAATGAAATACTGGTCCAACATTTCTTAGGTATGGGTGCGTTGAGTCCAGTGACTGAAGCATATGAAAGTTCTGGCTATTAATTGCAGTTTTACAGTTATTGCATTAACAATAATGTTTTTTTTTGCTGTTTTAAAAGGTGGGGTAGGTAATTTTGGAGAAACCAGCTCGAGTGCGCTAGAATTTGAAAATACACAGCCAGAAAAAATCTGCCACTTCCTTCCAGAGCCCAGAAGCTGTGTGGGGAAAAGATATGCACATAGCGGTATCATAGCACTATAAACAGCACTCTCTGCCATTACAGCATTTCCAGGGTGGGAATCGGATTTTGATAAGATCTCCTTGATGTCAAATCCGAGGAATCGAGCGGTCTGTCTGTGTCCGATACCTTGTCCTCAAGGGAATTTGGACGGATTACCAGGACCTCACATTTCCGCTGATATTATTAAGATTTGCCCGGTAGAGTTGGTCAGAGTGGAGAAGTTAGTACCACAGGTTCGCGCAGGTCTCTAGAGCGTCGACATCATCGCAGTGACAGGTGGTACAGAGGAGTCAGAATCCGACATGAAGGGAGTCGACCTTGTGTGTCCACTGTGTTTTGGTTGTCCAGTCGTGTAGAGGTCTAACTAGTCACTAATCACAACTTGGACTTCCTTCACAGCATTTGCGTGAATTACCAATTCCTAAAGTAAGTAAGACGCACTTCGGAGCCTCGACACTTCTGAGCCCTTTCCTGAAGAAACCCTACTGGGTATGAAAAAGACTTCTGTCCTGCTTTGTTGTAAATTTTGATAAAGAATTTCCACCTGCATTACATTCAAACTCTTTGGGCCCGCAGACTCTTGTATGTGACAAACAATATAAGGTACCTTACGGAGCATGTGAGGCTGATAGTTCCTATAGAATTCACGAAAACTGTTTTTTTCTTTTTTTTGCATTTTTGTACAATAGACACCTTCGGCATCATGACATTTCGTTCGTGGCTGGTTCCACGCGTAGAAATCGGCGGCCGGACCGATTTTATTTACTGACCGGATGGACGGACAGTCGGAAGGCAGTACACGTGTTTGAATAGAGCACGGGAGTAACCAGTACCCACGCACAGCACACCACAA